GGATGATGGAGGTGGGATGGGATGGAGATGGGGATAGGATGAGGATGGGGACGGGATGCGTTGGGACAGGACGCGCAGGATTAGCGGTACCTGGCGGCGTCTCCAGCTCCACAGGGAGAGGGAAGGGAAGAAGCCCAGTGGCAGGAAAGGGGATGGACATCTCAGCAAACCTCCATGGTGGGAGGGCAGCAGGGCATCCTTGGCACCTCATGCCAGGGAGAGGATGCTCTGGACCAGGGGCTGTATCTCATGCCAGGCAGTCATGTCCTTTCTCCTTCCAGGGGTCCGAGGACGTGTGGTTTTGCAGAGGTTTCTCCCCCCCACCCCAGAACCAGCACGCGATGGCCCAAGGGAGCCGCACGGCGCCTGTTGGGGGTCTCCATGACCCACGGCCATGTCCGCAGGAGGGTCCCTGCCCACAGACCCTGGTGTCGGGGAGAGGGTGGCTTTGGGGACACCCTAATGTCAGGGAGAGGGTGGCCCTGCAGATACCCTGTCCCAGCCAAAAGCAGTTTCTGTGTGGCTGCAGGAGCGAGCGCCAGGGCCCGCAGGGACAGGGCACGTTTGCAAACACAACCCTAAATGTAAATCAGCTCTCCTTACCACGGTATTTATAATCCTTATCTAAAAATAACCCCAAATTCAGCTTCCCAAAGGACAGCAACTGAGCATCCCCCAGACCCCAGCTTGCGTGTGAAACTGTCCCAGTAATTTTGGGATCTCTGCAATACGTAATTCGCAGCCCCGCTGGTTTTGCATGCAAGGCACTGCTGCTAGCTCCCTGAGGCCCATGCAAGCCCTGTCCCCTGCGAGGAGGGGGGACCTGCTGCAGCCCCCCAGGGACACGCTGGTTCTCCCTGAACCCCGTGGGGCAGCTGCCCATCCAGTGTGTTTGGCGTTTGGCATCACACCTCAGGTGCCCATCCTGGGGCAGTCCCATGCTGGGACACAGAAACTAAATATCTGCGGTTAGAGCTGGAGCGGGTGTGGGGAGAGCAGGAGGCACTTCTGGAGAGGCAGCCTGGTGATGGAGAGGAGGTGCTGGGGACGAAGGTCTCCATCAGGCGGCCAGGCCCGAGCACGGCAGCAGGAGAGCAGCTTGGCTCCCCAAAGCCCTGCAGGAACAAACCTTGGGGTGGCCGGGAACCCAGACATCGGCCGAGGAGAGACATCCGAAGAGGATCCTGAGGCCCCTGGGGGGGGACTGGGACTGCTCCCCTCCCCGGGAGCTGGTGGGAGAGCCCCCAGGACGGAGCGGGAAGGTCCCACCCAGAGCTCCTGCTCCCCTTGGGGTGTCCCCAGGCACCGGGGAGTGGAGCCACGCAGTGGTTCCCGCCTGGGAAAACATCATCAGCAAAGCAGAGAGTGTTCAGCACCCAGAAACCTGACACCCCCTCACCCTCAGAGAGGGAAAAACACCGAGGAAAAGGGAAAAAACTGAATAGAGAGGAGGGCAGGGAGGGAGAAACCCTTTCTGGAGAGCCACGTTTCTGCCAAGCTGGAGAAACCTGGGGAGGGAGGCAGGGTCCCCATGGGGGGCTTGCCATCGCCCCCTGCCCCGGGCGAGGGGTTGGGGGCGCGGGGCTCAGGGGTGCAGTGGGGTCTCTGGGGGGAGGAAGGGACAGATTCCTCCTCCCAGCTATGGGAGCACGCAGAGTCA